TCCCCTTCAAATCTCCTTTATTATTTCTTTATTCTCTCTCCCCTTTTGACCTTTACTCTCCCACAACTCTCCCATATCATTATTTCTTTTCAAGTAAACACAATTTCCGTAGAAATTGGTATAGGTCTTAGATACCCCTCTTTTCTTTTTAATATTTTCTTTATCAGTTTATATCCTCTCTCAATCCAGATTCTCGTTTGTAAGCTAATTTAACAATTAGTGAACAAACTTGTAACAATACTTAAACATTCTATCAATGGAAGATAACTCAAATACTATTATGATTGACAAGATTACTTTGAACAACAAATAATTATTGAGTAACTCATATGAATATACCATTAGACAACTTTGAATTTACCTTCTATTATATTTTATTTCTTCTTTTATATTTATATCACACAAAAATCTTAATATCAATGTTACCTATTTCTAATAGACTATTAATTTAGAAAATATATAAATATTTCCTCTTTATTCTTATCCATTTTCCTTTATTCTTTTACTTTTTTTACTTTTATATAATTTACATACCCTTTAAAAATTCCTTTTATATTTTTTTATATTTTATTTTTTTTATTATAATGTTTCGATTACTCACTTGGATTTCAACTCAAATTATCAAATTACTTGGAGAGCTTTATTAAGAACTTCTTATTCAACAATCTTATGAAATACTTACTTTTTTGACTTTTGAATTAAATATACAAGATAATGATAAACAAAAAATATATATCTTACTTTTGAATTTAATTAATTAACCTGAATTTATTGAAGATATCAAAACAAATTACACTTATCTCTTGAAAACTCAATCACTAATTGAACCTATTGAGTTATTTATCAATCCTGTTAGTATATCTACATAACCAAATTTTGACTGTTTAAATAACTACTTTATATTATCTTTACAAGAAGATGAATTCAAAAATATTATTGAAGAAATTAAAAAAACAGAATTCATAAATTCTGATAGCTCTCAAGAATCTGAAAAAAACTTGAACTAATTGTTATCATTCCTGAACAAACAAATATCATCTTAAAAAAAGATTGACCAACAAAACTTAAAGAAGCAGTACTTGAAATCTACAATTTATCACTTATCAACAATGAAAAAAATGGTATAATATTATAAACTTGGATATATTATTTCAATTTAATCACAAAAATATAGAAAGAACTTTCATGAAATTAAATGAGAAATTGATAATACTCTTGGAAAACATATATATGAAAAATCATATAATATTACACAAAAAGTATTTGATATCTATCAATCAGAAGAAGAAGCACTTATCAACAAATTTAATTTTACATCATTTAAGTTATTTCACTTAAAAAGAAAAGAAATATATAAGATCATTGCTTAATTTTTACAGAAGCAAAAATCTTTTCAAGAAGAACCAAATATTACTATAGTAACATAAATTTCTCTAATTCAATAATCTTTCTTTGATTATATGAAATTCTCTTTTTCTTAATTTTTATAATTTATCACTTGATTATTATTATTTTTATTCAATCATATAATTATTTCACTTTTATTTTATTATTCTAAATCTTATATTTATATTCTAAATATCATATTTATTCCCTTTTTCTTATTTCTATATACTTTTATCACCCTAAATTTGAGATTTACAATTTTGATCACAAATATTCTACATTAATATTAATATTTCACATATACGTATAACTATATTTAATAATACTATATAGATTAATTAGTTAATACATTTGTATATTCCTTCTTTTATATTTTATTTTTTTATATTTATATTACATAAAAATCTTAATTTCAAAATCTTGATTTTAAAATCTTGATTTCTAAATCTTGATTTCAAAATCTTGATTTTAAAACCTTAATCTGAAAATCTTAATTTGAGATTATAGAATATGTATATTAGATAGTATTAATTAGTAATACTATATTGTAAATAATTATTCTTTAAGTAAATTATTTGTAAAAAGAGAATTAAAATTATATATAATTCTTTTTTAAGCAAATTAAACTTGAATTCTTGCATATAATTATTCTTTTTTTAAGTAAAATATTACTTATAAAACTCTTCTTTCTTTTTTTATATTAATTATAATAATATATTATTTATTATTAGATTCTTTGTACCAGAAAAGACATATTTTTTATAGAATTGTATTGTTATTAAAAAAACTATTTTTGTATAATCATTATTGTTATTATTATTTAAGAATTTAAAAATTTTATCTAGAAAAAGCAATAATTATTAATAATATTTTTAAGAATTTAAGACTTTTATTTATAATAAAAGATTTTTTTAATATTTATCTGAAATATATAATTTTCTCTTCCTTCCAATTAATATAATTAATAATATTTATAAATATCAATACAGACTTTAAATACTAAATAAATATTACTTAGACTAATAATCTCTCTTAAAGTCTTGTTGTATTAGAAATTTCTCAAATCATTTCAATTTAATTTAATAATATATTATACTAATATTATTTGCAAATACTTAAATGAAATCAGATTTAAAAGTTATATTTCAAGAAAGAAAACTTTTTTGACTTCAAATCAAGAAATTTATTAGTTAAATTAGTGCTAAAAGAAAGATAATTGGAAAACACAATAAAAAAATTATATGATTTGATGAGTTCAAATTCACACTTTTAGAATTAGATAACCAGAAAAAAGTATAATAAAAACTTGTTGAAGTTTATCATCAAAAATATATTAAGCTTACTATTAAGTTTGATGAAGTATCAGTGATATTTTGAAGTTATTTTAGTTGAATAGAGTTGATACTTTGGTACTAATAAACGAAACTATAAATTCAGATATTTATATTAATATTCTTGCCAATTATTTTGTATTCTGAATTTATTAATATAATTGATAAGTCCAAAATTAGCAAATTTTTCATTGTACATTTTTACCTAACCTTGAATATAATTTAACAATCTTAGTTTCTCTTGCAAATTAATTCTTTATATTTTGGAATTCATATATATTACCAGTTTCTGCATAATCCATAACTATTGAGTATTCATTTGCAGCTGAATTTTTAGTTATTCCATAATATTCAATACTACTATAAATTCATTGGCACTTTAGGCTTTTTTCAATGATCATTGACCAAAATTACCAAAAAAAGAAATTAAATTATTATACATGTATTTGGAAATTTTGCTATTGATCTGGCCAAATATTTTTTAAAATTGACCAAAATGCCAACCCGCTTTAGAGCAAATTTTGTAAAAGTTAAATATATTGAAAAACAAAAAAGCTATACTCTTAAACTTTAAAAAAGGTGTTCATTTATAAACTCGGATGAAATTTGCTTTATTTGTGTACGTGATGATTTTAACACAACTTCGAGTTCATTAAATTTAAATGTGTTTACTTTATAATCTTACATGATAGGTTATTTCAATGGTCCGACCAACCAGGCAGACAGGTTGCTTTATAAATTGATCCAAAACCTCCTTTGCAAGATATTCAAAATTTGCAAATCTTTAAAAAAGGGATCTTTATTTCCGCTATACCTTTCAGTTTTATAAATTTGTGATATAGAAAACATTCTCTATAGTAATTTTTTGACAATTGGTGCATTTACTGCAATCGTGAACTGAGTATTCATTACGATATGTAAATATTTAACAAAAAACATATTTACTACAATCATGAATATTCGATATTTTAATTGTCATTTTTGAGCTTATTAGTGATTATGGCATGAAAACGATGATTTACGAAGTCGTTACTCACTTGTAACCGATTTATGCATGACAATAAATGAGATATCGAAGGTATCTATCGTAATCACATATTTACTTTAACATCATTCCAACGTTTTAAATATCCATATAACATAATCATTATGACCGTTGTAAAGTTGTATCGGTATGATCTAGCAAAAATGAAAGAATGCATCGAAATTAATCATATTACATGTAATATGTATAACTCAATAAGCCAACGGATTTCACCGGTTGTTAAATTTTTTGAACGGTCGACTTGGGTCGGATAACTAACTCTTCTTTTAAAATAAAAACGGTACAATTAAATTTTGATATCCAAAGGTCTCTGGTTATTCAAGAATAAGCTTCGTTTAACGTTATAAAATACTATTTATATTATTTTTCGTTATATCAAGCTCTTTGTTAATAGGTTCGTTCCTGGAAATTCTTCCTTTTCACGTGAGTTCGCTTTATCGAGGGTTCGCTTTATCGAACTTTAACTGTAACGGTAATGGTAATGATTCACATGTATATTCGTTATCGTTATTCTTACCGTTACGTATTAGTGTTATACGTACACATGTACATTGTTACTGTATACATGTACATGTATAATGATAAGTACACTCGTGTCGTGTTATACATGTACTTGGCTGCTTGAAAAAGAGATACGCCAAATATGAGCATGTTCGTATGTTCAAGTTTTGTACTCTGTATAAAAGTTGTTTAGATGAAAAACTTAAAGAGAAATTTAACAGACATTTTTCAAAGTATTAAAGAAAGGTTTTAATAACTTTGATATTTCACATCATTTAACTCCGTTAATTTCACAAAATGACGAATTCAACGACGATGTATTTTTTAAATATTTGAATGACAATGCAATCACTGCAAATGACTTTATTTTCCTTTGCTGGTATTGGCATTTGATGTATAACAACTTCAAGAGTTTAGATTACAACTTTATTGTTCGTAACGTCGAAAGAGCTGCTCATCTCGAACCTACCAATATTTTCGCGCAGTTCTATATTGCCCAGTGCACCTTACATGGAACCGGAACCAGCGAGAATTCAGAGCGCGCTTTTGAACTTGCCAAAAAATTTTCGGAAACCGGCAATTATTTGTGTCAGTATTTACTCGCATGTTATTTTTATAAAAATGTTAAGAGAGATAATTATGTGAAGGCGTTTGTTTTGATACAATCAGCTGCTTTAAATGGTCATATTTATGCTCAGATGGATTTGGCCCTTTGGTATGAACTTGGTATAGGAACTGTGAAAGATTCGCATAAGGCAATTTATTGGCATGTCAAGAAGCATCAGGAGGATAATCAGCTCGATAGTTTGAACTGCATTTTTCGGCAAAACAAATTCTAAATATCCGTACTTTTTTTGTTACATATGAAATTTTTTATTTACTAAAAAATAAATAATAAAAATATAAAAATTCACATACAAAAAAAAATATAAATGAGCTCGTTACAGTAACATAACATCTCGTTATAGTAACATTAAATCTCTTCCCCGATCTCATTACTGTAATAAGCTTTCATATTATTTATTTTTTTTGATCGAGTAACATCTCGATATAATAACACCAAGTCTCTTCCCCCAATCGCATTATTGTATCCAGCGCCCACTGTATTCATTTTAAACCTCTATTATTTTTTCAAAATTATTTGACAACTGATTTTTTTAACCATTTTTGTAAATTCAATTAGTAAATTTCGACCCACATAACTTTTTTTTATAAGATAAAAACCAAATTGGGACCACTAATTAAAATATTCTACGATGTAAATTAAAATGATTAAAGTTGGTTTTTATTTTGTGCATAACGATAAAGAATTTGATGATTTTGTATGCGAGCTTCAAAACAATACGTATAATTGTATAAATTTTTGCATGCAGATTACTGATCACGAATGTTTTTTGTTTTTACTACGTAATTGTATGATATTACAGATCGCGTACTATTTACAGAATATATAGTTTACATATCACATGTTTTTTATCTTTCCGTATTTTTGGTTTTCATAAGAATGGAATCCTCTTGAAAAAAAATTGTATTGCAATGGTTGTAAAACCTTTAAATCTTTGATGGAATTTATGGGTCTTGGTGATAAAAGAATTTCTAAACAATTTCAAACCTGTAATAACTGTTGTCAAAGATTTTCTGAAAATCGGAAAAGACTGATGCAATTCCAGAAAACAAGTATTAAAATGAACACCTTGAGTGAAAATACTACAATAATCTTAGAGAATATCAAAAATGCTTTAACAAACGAACCTGGATTACAACTTTATTACGAAATAACCTATACTGATTTGAAAAATCAGAAAAGGACTGGCGGATGAAATATTAGAATTGAAAGAAGATGTAGATAATTATGTTTGGATGTAAGCTTGATCATTTATACTCACTATAAATAATATACAAGTATTTGTAACTAGAATATTTCTTTTTGAATAGCTATCACCATGAATATGTTGGAAAAGATACAACTACATGTTGGTATTACGGTTCACAAAGAGATATTCTAGCAACAAAATTAAAGCTCTGTTCGGGTCGGGTCGGGTTTGAGGTCACCCGAACTGATAATTTCAGGTCGGTTTCGGGTTGGGTTTGACCCGAAATCGCAAAATAGTTTTTCGTTAATAACTTTTATTTTTTTACTAAGATACTTGTCTTTGTGTCTTAAGTAGAGTTGTTCAGAATGTAATTGTGTATATATCCACAAATATTGTTGGATTTCAATTGATATTGAACGAGAAATAACGATTTTTAGGCTGACCCGAAATATTTCGGGTCGGGTCACGGATTGGACCCAACCCCCGCTTGGAACACTAAACAAAATTATAAAAGCATCAAAGCAAGGAGATACTCAATCCAAAAAGCAGTTCAATTGTCATGGCATTATTAAATTATTATAAAGTAATTTTGCAACATGAGAAAAATCAAAAAATGCATCCATACCTCAACATATCAAAGATTTTATTAAAGACAACAATATCGACCAAGAGAACTTTATGCACAACTTGTCAGTAAAGGAATAGATTTATCAATACAACAAAAGCAATTTCACTTTTGGTGGAACAAAATCAATATAAATGTCATGAGCATGCATTTGAGTCTGCAATAAATGGATTTACAATATTATCTTACAAGAAACTGAATCTGTTAGAGCTTTAGGATTTAATGCAGGAATTTTTGAAAACTGAAGAACTGAAATTAAAATTGATTGATGCAACATGTAAGTAAATTTTAACTAATAATTTCAGATATATAACTCAAAGATTTCTTACAAAATTCGAAGATTTTGGATTGTATCCACAATTCTTAACAGATAAAATTTTTTATCAATAAAGCAACTAAACTAATTTTCTTTAAAGAAATTCAGCAATCTTCTCAATTTTGTCCAAAAAAACTATATGAAAATCTTTGAAAAATATTTGCATCAGATTTATTAATTCTAATTAATAGTTATTACTTAATCAAAAATACTATTTATCAAGTATTAATTCAAGAAATATATTTGTTTTGTAAAGAAAACTCTTTAACTTCACTTTGGAGTTATCTATAGACTGAGTGGTATTCAAAATGAATATTATGTGCAAGATCTTCTCAAAATTATAATGTTTATTAAAGAATCTTGGCAAACTATAAAAAAATTCTCTTTACAAGTTTTTTCAGCCAAGAATAGATTTAGTTAGTTACATATATTTTAATGACTAAAGTTTATCAAAGTATTGAAAAGCCAGAATAGATTAAAAATTTAAACATGAATGAAAAAATTTAGCAAAAAATTCATTAATAATAATAATATCTATATAACTGATTTAAATTAATGGATTTGTGGATGTGAATATTTTTTAACCAGTTAGATTAACATTTGCAAATATTTAATCTGAAAACAACTCTTCAATTTTAACTATAAATAATAATGACAATGCAAATAATAATAACAATACAAATAATAATGACAATAATAACAATACAAATAATAATGATGATACAAATAATAATACTGAAATGCTATCTTTAATTGAAGAGTTTTTGATGAATTAATTAAAATTAAAGTTAATTGACACATTTTGAACAAAATAATGTTAACATACATTCTTCGTTTCTTTATCTTTACACCAGATTCTTTATACACAAAAATAAATTTAAAAAAAACAACTTTAATCAGTTTAATTTGCATCCTATGCAATATCAGCAAAATGTGCAGTATCGACGTAGACAACGACAATATGATTTTTCGATAAATTTTTCATGAGATACAGAGTACAATATATCGAGTTTTTTATTGGCTACGCTGGGGAAGTTGTCCATTGCCCAACCCTGATAAATAATGTTTGTTAATATTTTTGCCTACCCTTCATTTAATTTCCATACACCTGAATGTACATCAACTCTATCTTAATCTAATACACACGTTTAATTTATTGAGCTGCTTCCATTTGAATAATAAAAGGTTCTTACGATGGCATGCCATTTATCAAATGATATTTTTTTATTAATAGAGACCATACAAGTGATTGAAACCGGGTCGGGTACAACCGGGTCAACCCGGATGGGTCGGATATCCGGTTTGTGACCATAACCACCCGGATGAATGTGGGTGGATCAACCCATGGGTCAAACCCGTCGGTTAACCCGTTGATTTGTTCACTATTGATTCATTTACTATGTCATATGGAATCGGCTCAATGAAATATATGTTATACGGTTACGATTATGGCAAAAATCATGGATTAAATAATTATTAGCGTTAGTAATGGTGACATGCATTAAGATCGAAGATAACCTGTGACTTCGTTCATGGAAATCACGTTTGGTGTGCGAAATTCTACGTAGATCAAATTTTTTATGATATCGATCATTAAACAAATATTATAATATTTTTACCCGGTCGCATTTTTTTGAACGGGTCCAATCACTAGACCTTACCCATCGACATATGATCGTGTATATCACATGAACATATAGATAACGGATCCCCAAAACTCGAGTGATAAATAAAGTTCTATGAAAATATAAATCATTTGTTTTACCATCATTTCAAAGGTTTAAATGAAACACAACATAATCACTAATAGTGAACTCAAAAATGAAATCAAAAATGTCAAACAATCACGATTGTAGTGAATGTTATTGGTGTCAAGACAATGGTTACTGCGATGATTCTCAAATTACAATACTCACGATTTTAGTAAATGTACCGAGAGATGTTCATGGTCTTAGGACTTGAAGACGAGATTGGACCAAAATCTTAAATGATTTTAAGACTATTTAAGACTGCAGTCTTATTATTAGTGTACACAGTGGTCGTCGATATAACACCAATATATAACGATTGAGGTGCAGAACAATAGGGATTGAAATCGATTCTAATAGAAACTAGAAAGTTTTTCTATCTTGGAAGCTAGAATAAAAAATAGATTTGTTAATAGATTATGTTCTATTTTTGACAGAGAATCGATTCTCAAAAAACGGAATTTCACATTGCATAATAAGATTTACCCCAGAAATTGAACAACCAAATTCTTGCACATCCATCGATTAAAGAAACCGTTCTGATTCACATTTAATTGATTCCTTAAAGGAATGATACAGTATACATTTATTATTTTATTATCAAACATACAAAGTAATTTGGGGGAAAAGCGTAGGTACTATTGCTGTTTTCTATTATTTACGAAAATTTTCATGATCCTTCACACTTTTTTTTTGAACCATAAAATATTAGATCCATCGAATTTAGCACCAGTTGTAAGTTATACATGTACGAATTTGTAAAAGTCAATTGATATACTGTATGCGTATTTAGTTTTTAGTTTTTAGTGTTTATTCTTACTCAGTATTCCAATTTCCGGCAAAATTCTTTTTGAGTATGGAAACTGCGCCACTAAGAATCTAATAATAGAAAAGTAGGATAGATTCTGTTATTTTCTATTTCCAGTTTGAGTATCATTTTCAATTCATAAAGAACAGTCTATTATAAATTACTGTTGATATACTGGATTTACTAGTCAATATAACAAATTTTCACTAATGAACCGATCTGTCCGTTAGATCGATGGCTATTGTGTATATGAACAATTTTTACCGGTTCTATAGCATTATAGACATTATGCATGAATACAGAAATCCAGAAAGTGTCTTTTTTTGGAAAGAATCTAATGCAGAAAACTCGAACATTGCATATACAGACCGATTTCTTAATGCGTGCACAATGACACAAATACATTAATTTAAACGTGCATTTGCACAAGTAATAAAAATTTTAGCACACGTAATGTAAATCGTTAAAAACCACAGTTCTGAACCCGAACTCCAGTTACAAGTTATCGATAACGATAATGTGAATGAAAAGCACACATAGAATCCGAACTATTGGTCGAATAATTAGTATCGATATGTTATACACTTGTGCGGACATATCCGCTCGCGAGGTATGAATTACAAGAAATTTTAATTTTATAAGATTACTGTTACGAAACGGATATTTCTGATTAATCCAAAAGAAAAATTGAGATTTCAATTAATTTATACAATTTATTGATTTCGAAGAACAAAGAAATTAATCGATTCTTAGAATTGTTTTTAATTAATTGATTCTTTAAAATCATTCGACTTGAATACTAAATATCTAACACAATATTCTCAAGCAGTTTCATTTATATTAAATTAATAGATATATTCTTAGAGAATTATAAAATATTAGTTACTATTACCAGAAGTATTAGAATTAAGTGTATGATTTTAATTCATATAAAAGACCATGGTCTTGATCAGTGGGGACCGGACTGCTCATGACCGGGTCCTATAGGACCATGTCTATCCATACACAAAATTTATGGAGTTCTTCCTATGTGAATCCAGAGATGGAAAGCTATACAATAAAGCGGGTGTGCACTAAAGGACTTAGAGTTAGAACATGTTATTATTTATTATATGATGTAATCATGCATCATATTATTAAATTTTAATTCATAAATGCCCGCATCATTAATTTGCATCAGTAGTAAGTCTTACCGTAAACCACCCCCTTCTATAGAAAATTTAAACCAATTATTTTCCACAAAATAAAGAAATCAAGATTCACAGTGCAATTTTAATTACTAAATTAATAGGCTTGCGGTGAAATTAAGGTTTAAATTTTCTACAAACGAGGGTGGTTTATGCGGCAAATTACATCAAGACTGTTGCAATTGACCGACCCAATAAATCTTTCCAAACTGTTCACTAATCGAATTTTCATTGGATGCACGCGAATTTTGTCACGTGTCGTGCACTTATGGCGAGGATTTCAAATATAATGGGACCGGAAAATTCATTGCACGTGTAGAATATAGCACTATGATCCCAGCTCGGGACCGGACAAAAGAGTGCATTTAAGGAGGGTGTACACTTATAGAGGGTGTATTTAGGGAGGTCTTACTGTATATAAAATTATTTAAGCTCTATAAGTGTCAGTTGTATGTTCCAGACGAAGGTAAATTTCTATTTAATACGATTTTTTATTAACTCCATTAATTTATTATTTGGTGTGCTAAACAGATTCCGATCTCTTACCATTTGAAATCAAAGCGAATGATATATCGAATGCTTTATAAATTCATGTTACTCTTGTTAGTAGCTATTTAAATTTTTAATTTAGTGGAATCTAAAACCATTAGCGTTATGGATCATGATCCTGACGGTAATCGTCGATATCGATATACTGATAAGTACTGTAACTTGTATTTTGAGTTAAATTTAGTAGCACAACGACCAAAAGTTGTTTCTATTGTTTAGCTTCTTGTTACTGTATATTATTGTATACTGTATATAACTTTACATAACAATAAAAAATAAATTATATGTTGTGATGTATCATCAATGTCGTCGTCGTTATCTTCGATATTAGTTTGCAAAATGTCACTTTAGTTTATTATTTTCACTTACGAAATTGTTACTATGTTATAATATATGTATTTAATTAACTATTGTAAATAATGTTATATCTCCTACCAATATTTGTTAATATGGCCGGTGCAAAAGATTGATATCTCAACATATGAAAATTCCAATAATTCCAAAAAAAACTTGCAAATCATCATCGTTATTGTCTACTCAAAGGGAATTATTACGTATCGTTATCGTTATGTCATCACTGTGTTCAGACTACGAACTATGACTACTGTATGCGCCTGATTGAACATCAATTAAATTTAATCTCACGCACATGTCTAATTTATTGGATTATACTGATACGTTATCGTCATAATAGAAATCTTAAAACAAAACACGTACTAACGCTAATGATATAACGATAATAGATAGAAAGACTACGAAAGTTTCTAAATTTGTGACACTAGCTATACTCAGTGTAGTATAAAAAAAACGTAATTTCTGGCGATAAAAATTTAGCTGTGTTTGAATTTTTATTGTTCATCTATGTACCGTGTAAAAAAGAGTTTGTTAATGAGGAAATACAACAATTATACGCAATTTTCATTGATACATATCCCGAATACAAATGGGGGAAGTGATAGTATCCTATCCTATCCTATATGGTATCATGATATCATGATACCTATAAAATTAAGTAACAAGTATTTTTGAAAAACCCGCCAGCATTCTTTTATGAAGTTCTCTTATATTCATAAGAATAATACTTCAATAAAAGAAAATCTTATGTACATTTCTGAATTTCTTATTTCAATAAAATGCATAATGAAAAATAGATTAAACGAATAAATCATGGTGATGGTGATAAATCTTTGATTAATTAAAACCCAGAAGATGCACTACGATGCTGATGAGTCTGATGATGGTATCGATAATTGTTCTGAGTGTTGTAGTGAAAAGAACCACCACCACCACCACCATCACCACCACCACCCATGAAAAGAAAATCTTCACCCTCTTCTTCAGTTTCATCCTCAAATAAATCCCATTCTCCAAGATGACTTGGCTCATCATCTTTAATATCCTCTAATCTAGTGGATCGTGTTCCTGAGGCATAAGATGCTCTACGTATAGAATTAGTAGCATTTATAGTCCTTGACGAAAAAGATGAATTAATTGAATATTTGTCTGGCCCTTTGTTGTCATCAATTTTACTTAGAACATGATTATTTTGATTGTTATTTTTATCACACTGATCTTCACGAAGACGAAGGTAAGTTTCAAATGAAGGAGGTTTACGTAAACGCTTTTGAAATCGACTTTTCCTTGTTTTCGGTTCCTCTTGTTGATGAGTGGGAAAAATTGAATGAGTAGCGGAGTAAAATCCAGCAGGTGCGGTGTTTCTTCGTCTCTTTGGAGCAGCAGAAGTAGAACCACTGTTGTTGATTGGCAAGGCTGTTTGCGATATTGATAATTTTTCCATTATTCTGTCTGTTACGAGTGAAAAAAAAAATGACGATAAAATTTGATATATTGTGTTGAGATAATTGGTTTCTTCAAAAATCGGCGCACACTCAAAAGTGAAACAAGTGTTCTTTAATATATACGTAATGAGGAATTCGATTCGTACGACATTACTTGTTCTATCAGATTTTTCTACATGACTTTATTGTGACAATACGAATAGACCAAAAGTATGTGCTATTATGTGTGATAATGTTGATTTACAGTGCATAAACAAATCCATGTTCTGTACTGTATCGGTATATTAAAATGGTTGATATCGATGTATGAGTAACGATAATATTCGCTCGTGATTATTATAACAACTATTTGTATAAAGGCGACAACATTATGACCGCAAAATTCGCCGTTTTCTTTTGTTGTCGTCGTTGTGATTGTTGTTGTTAGTTAAACTTGCGTGAGGTCTACAAGTTATCGTTATGCATTGAATAATCATAAGAATGAGTAAAGTAAGCAATACAAAGCTAATGAGAGTTGTGGAACTTTCATAAATAAAAAATGTGCATGTTCACTCATTCTTTTAAATTAAGTATGCACAAATCAAATGTATCTAGATAAATTAAGCAATAAATATATCGATATGCATTTTGAGTTGATTTTGATGTCGAAATTACAGGATTTTTCTTGATGGAAGTATTTCACGCCTAATCTATGCCTGGAAGGTTCTGGAATAAGTTGAGTAGGATTTCGGAAATTTGCGAACATTTATTAACACGAAGAAATTACTTGGTCAATTTCATCATCATTGTTCAATTTCATTCATCGCCATTGTTCTCTTTTATTGTCGAATAATACCAACCAATACATAATTGTTTCCAAATTCATCGGTCATGATTTCTTTAATAGGTTACAAATCTAAATCAAGTGAAGAAACCTATTAATGAAATGCTTATTGTTCTACTTGGAAGAGAGAATTTTCGTCAACCTAATACGTGATATCATGCTTAAGTTGAACCATTCATAAGATGAAACCTCTTAAATTTGAATTCCTCCAAAATTTCAGATATTAAATTTTAGACATTAAAGTTCAAATTAAAAGTATAAAATTAACAATATTTAACTAAAAAAAAATATGAATTTGCATATAAATACTCTCATTTAATCCTCAAATAATTTTTTGTCTATCATGTGACTTAGAACGATAACGATAATTAAAAACATCGTGCTAGTCTGAAGAGTATGCATTTGAGGTACCGGATACTTGAAGCAATGAACGAAATTTAAATTTATAAATTCAAATTCTATGATTATATGTATCTAATGCTACCAAATCAAGAATTCGGATTCTTAGCATATGCATGATGCCATCTGACAGCGAAAAAATTTTTCCTGTCAACAGACATCTATCACACACACAACTCGACGATAATCAAATATTTAGAGCTGCCGCCACCGACAACAATGTCAATTTATATATAGACCGGTTTTTTTTATTAGGATGTGATTGACTCTGCATAAGTATTATAACGATAGATACTTCCATTTATCGGAATACATGCATATGTATGTATGTATGTTGTTTAATAGTTGTAATTCCGCCACTTTCCGTTAATTATTACGTGCTTGAAAGCCGCGATTGTTTAACTTCACAAAGAAAGGTCTCCAAGTCTTCTTGCTTTTGTCAAAGCGAATTGTCGATGTGTATCTTTGATCCCAAGAAGAATGTGGCTTATGAGATTTTCCCGAACTAAAAAAGAGAAAACGTTTACTCAACAATTCCAAGCCTCTCGCTTTCTTTATATTGTTGTCCATAAAAAGAATAAATTGTCATGTTTCGTTTGATTAGAATTAAATGTTCTGCGCTTGAAGCGAAAAATTTTAAGATCTCGTATAAACCCCATTCCCCTTATTTCCTATTGGGAATTAGATCATGATTGTCACTCGATTTCTTTGTGTCCTACGAGAAAATTGTATGACAACACATGGTAAAAAATAGCAATTACATCAATTACATAAGGTGACATTGCAAATCTCTTAAATAGCTTATTTTTTTGACAAAGTCATTAAATTTTTTTTGCGTCAAAGATACGATCTACGAAGAAATGCACATTATATCCATCTGTTTGATTAAAATAAATAAACAATAAACAATAAATAATGGATAAAATTATCTCCAAGACACGCACGCTTTTAATAAAACAGCACAGTGAACAACCTAGCTATTAAAAATTTTTGTCAGTTATAGCAGATCCGCTTTATCGGACTTTCACGTGCATATGGAGTATACATCAATAATATCAATTATGGATCATAAAAGTTCGCGCGCGGTGAATTCATCTTTGTAAAATTATACATGTCTTTATTATCGAAGATTATGCTTAATTCTTTTGTCATGCGCGTCATTTCACTTTACATGATGTGTAATATTTGTTTCCCTTTAGGCTCATTATCCGACAATTGCGCGGTTTTCTATATCACTGTACAACATTACGCGAAATCATTCTGTGCCATTATCCATTTTAGTTCTTCACAGAAGTTTTTCTCCATTGATCAATGAATTCTTTGTTTCAGCATATTTATGCATCGAATGTATGTACATGTAAATGCAAAGAGTACCGTGTAACTTGCAATAAATTACAATGATGCATTCGTGAGAAGAATTTTGATCAATGAGCGTGACAATTCGGAATTTGCGGAGTGTGATTATCTAAAATTTTAAAACGGATGTCTATCTTCGAGAACTTTAAAAACATAATCTCAATCTTCAAAATAACAGACCAGAATGGTGGTAATACAGGATTCATTATGAATTTGATATATAGCATTTACTCTCGAATTCTTTTCTTTGAGATGCATATCGATATTGTTAGATTAAGCATCCAAAACTTCGAAACGCGCGTGGTTGTGCCTTTTAACCCAAGTTCGTTCTGAAATCCAAGAAGATATAAAAGAGAATGGATTAAAACTGCTGACTAATCCTTTTACTCATAATGGTGGTGAAGAAGTTGAAATTATTAGCATTACAACAACAATGACAATCAAGGAAGGAGACACTCGAAAAGGCACTCAAAGAAAAGGAGGGGGTGGAATAGACACTCACATAAAGTAACATACAGGAAAAAAGAACGCGAATAATCTTTTGGTTCAAGTAATGTACAGGACAAAAGAACGCAGAGATTATTGTTTCTTAGGTTTGTTATGAGTCAAAAATGTCGAGCAAGAAGTATATATTTAGCGTAAAAACTAATACTAAACAGACGATGAAAAATGTGTTGTGCGTCATATGATAAGATTGGCTATTGACTGCGCTAGAAACGATCCCAAAAAAATTCTTTTTAAAAACAAAGCGACTCTGTTATGCTCATGATCACTATTTACTGCATGTAAATAAATAGCAGCTACTATTAATATAAAAAATCAAAAAAATAAAAGATGTCGGGGTGGGAAAAAACCCAAAAAAAAGCTCCATTTAGGGGATTTCTCTCAATGAACGAACAAATTAATCAATTATCGCATGCGCGAGAATTACGAGATCGATCACGCGGCGGTTATCGAGAAAAGATTCGTTGAATACATAAATATAGTTACGAACACGGAAAATTACTTTCATTTACTCATTTATAAACCGTGTTGAAGAAGGAATAAAGCAAAAAAAAAATTTGGAGGGAAATTAAGGTTTTCTTTGTTGTCTGTCAGTCATCATTTACGTAAAGTAATATTTTTGTTTGGTCTCTATTGAAAGTAATACACATCGTCCAATCTGATTCTTTTTGTTTGGTCTCTATTGAAAGTAATACACATCATCCAATCTGATTCGTTGATTGGCTTTGTGTTGTGTTTCGGCAGAGAATGCAAAACTCCTCCTCACAGCTTAATACATTAACATGCATACGTGCATGTAAACACACTTGCTCACTCGCTCAATGCAATGTGGCGCGTATACTATTCTATCGTTGGATAAGAAAGAAAGGAAGAAGGGGGCTGTGGTCGTTCGGTCGGTTTTTCTTTCGCTTTTGCCTACAGGTTGAAAAGCATAATCGCAAATAGAATTTTTCGGAGAATAGAAAATCATTTATATACATATTTAAAAGAATCGAAGTGATTTAAAGAGATTGTGAAGTGATAGCATCTCACCATCATAATCAAGATGACATATCAATATGTAATGGCATTAATTTCAGGTTTGTAAACAAGAATAATTTGAAGAGAAAGGAAAGAGAAGTAAATGAGTGACACCTTTGCTATTTCGATGATGTGATGTTGTTTTATGCTAAATTCTATTTATCGTTATCATTATGTTTATCATTTATAATAAGAAAAACCGGTTTTCTTATTACATGTATCTTCTCCATTCCTGATTTATGGATTGAATTTATGCATCGAGCTCTATGTCCGCTGGAGAGTTTTCTCTGCCATCATTCTATTTGTTTCGTTTTAAAAATAACAACCAATTGCTCTGAAAAATTAATAGCCAAGAGAAAACAAGTTTTCATATTGATTATATAAACCGTATGGTGGTGCGCAAGAACTCCGAAACTTTGACCAATAAATGGCGACCCGAGCAATGTTAGTATGAAATAAAGTTCATTGTATCACATAGCTAAATATTTTTTTTTGATGATATTCGAAATGTTTTACGCGCTCGTGTGATCTTTTTTTTCTTCCAATAACATTCGAAAGAACATTTGACTCAGATATTTATTTTTTATTAGAAACCATTTTATTACTTGAAAGAACTTAAAACAACTTAAAACAATTGGAGAGAAGTAAAATAAAAAACGAAGAATCAAACTTACGTACGTATGTCGTTTTGTTTGCTACAATGGAGAAAATTAAAGTCTTTTTTTCATACATTTACTGAAACAGAATGGCTAACAATGAGAATGTCTGATTGTTTGTATAGAAAAAGCGAGTCATTTTATCCTGAACCAATTTATTTAATGTTAATTCGTTGTTTGTCCTTTCCATTTACTTTCCATTCTTGGCCGCTAAATCGTGTTTGATAATCGTGTCCTGCTAGATTTAGCAGTGGGCCGAGGTAGATTACATACATCGGATATAATTATATCCACGTGAATTAGTTAAAGAAACGACAAATCTGTTATTGAAATAACCACGTGATTTAATACACCAACTATTAGCAACGATGGCTGTTGTTATCTCCGTTATTATAAAAGAAGTCTTCCTCCTCCTCATCTTCATCATCACGTGGATCCCAATCATCAGCACTGTTATTACTGGAAGAATAACTAACACTGCTAACGTCATCATGGAGAAGATTTCCATCCAATAGACCAGCGAAGCGAATTGTTGAAGAAATGCGTCGAACTAATCCTGATGTTATATTAATAACCATTTCTGATGATGAGGTTACTGTTGATGTCGGTGCCGATGTCAGTGCCGATGTTGGTGTTGGTGATGGTGATATTAACTTGTTATTTGGAGGATTGATAGAGGTTGGAGTGGTTGATATACTACCAGAACTTTCGCAAGATGAAGTCGATGAAGTGGAATTAGAACGACGTAATAAATAACTATTGAATGATTGTGGTTTTCGTAAATGCTTTTGGAACCGAGATTTTCTTTTCTTCTGTTGAGTTTGTTGCTGCAAAGTTGTTATTGTTGTCATCATATTACTATTCTTGTTGTTGTTATCATAGCCAGAGAATTTTGAAGAAGGTGTTGAATACATTTATCAATTTGAAGTAAAAAAGTAAAGTTTTGTTGTTTTAATAGAATTTAAAAATAAATATTTTATTTGTGTTTGTGTGCGTGTGTGTGTGTGTCAAGAAAAATGTGATTTTTTTTTGATAGAATAAAGTGTGAACCGACGTACCAGCGAATATTTATATATGAATTATATGTGGCGTATATATACTAGTATATTTATTTAATTTATATTATTATACATATGTAAGTGAATATTATAATATAATGACAAACAACAAAAGCGATAAATAACAAAGACGAAAACGACAAAAATGACTGAATACTGTTAAAATATTACAATAACAATATATATTGTCAGTATGGAAATTTTCTATAGCGATAGAATAATAATTCATTAATATAATATTGTTATACCCGATTATTATTACAACGAGTGATGTGTGTGTGCATTATCACCTATATATTTATAAAGTATCGTTTATCCCTTTTTGATGAAATATTTCTTTTGTAATATAATTATACTTATAATTATAATTATAGAAGCTAAAAATTATCATCGACATAGCAATAGGAGAAAGAAGGGATGGAAAACTAGCGGAGTGAACTTACACCACCATCATCATCACATCATATCATATTATATTATATTATAAGAGAGAAAATGAAATTTCTTTCTCCTTAATCATTTTTCTGTAAACAAAAAGTTACTCCGCTTATTATGTGGATTCTACGATGGCAAATAACATTTCATCTTTCCGCCATCTTTATTTTATTCGATAATTTCATTACAATTTCCTTTTTACGTTATTATTTTCAATCACGTGGAATATTTTCACAATTATATCAATTATATTTATATTGTGAATATTATCAATATACAGTGGACCGATAGGTGGATGAAAGTCAGCTGGCTTTTCTTTGAATGTCCATTCAGACGATATAAGCCTTACAAATAACACATGAGCACAGTGTTGAGAACAATGGGCTATGATTTTTGCATTTTACATTTCGAAATTAAAAATTCAGATCAAACGAAAGAAAGAACATTTAGAGCCGTATTCTTATTACTTTGTCCTTATGACCCCCTATTAATTAAATCTCCGCCGATTCGTATCACGCTTATTCATTATTTTATGAAAATCTCGGTCCGAATACAATTATTAAAAACGGTTTTCACGTCAAGAAAACAAAACAACAATACTGTGTTTCCGATGAATTGTCATTTTCTTCGAATGGTATTTTATTTTGTGTGACACGTGGTTTTGTGTATTCCATCCATTCATATATGCTATTTGGTTTCTATTGGTTTCGAACAAATTTTCGTAAAATTCTTCTGTATTATTATTGCGTCGTATTTTGACCGAGACGAAGGTGATATTGTCACATTGTCTGTATTGTGAAAAAGATCTTTTTTTCGGGGAAAAAAAACCTTATTTTGGAAATATTTTTATTTAATTGCTATCGCTATTGTTGTTATTATCAATTTTAGAGTTAATGTATCACAAAAATATAGTGACGCAATTTTACATTATTAAAGTGTCGAATAAATGCTATCAAGCAGGTAACGCGCATTGTGCACACACAACACACATACACATAACGACACCCTTTTACAATAGCGCGTAGAAATTCGTAAGAAAATATTCCTTAATAGAAACGTGTGAAAGCTATTCAGCAAGATACACACGTCAAATATTTTTAATATTATGATGTCACTGTATCGACGTTAAAATTCATTAGAAAGAGTAAAAAATGGCAATAATGACCGTATTTTTCAGTATTGTTCGTTTTATTGTTAACGGTAAATGGATCGATCCGCATGTTCATTTCGAGAAATTACCAGGATTATCGAGCGAATCAAAGAAAAATAAGCTCATGAAAATCTGCATAGTTTCTTTCCACTATATAGCGTTAATTTTTCGTTCTTTCTATACCAAATTTATTCTGATGTGCATGTGTGTTGCCTAGCGTTTACACTGGTTGTGTGATAGACTCAATTCGCATCACGAACATTGTGTACAACGACGATAAATTAACGGGAAGTCTACGGACAGTGCATAGGGACAGTGCAAAATCATGTGATCTTTCCGGTCCAGTGTCGGACAGTACTTA